GGCAAACTTTATTTGTAAATGTGTTCAAGTCTATAAAAATGATACTATTTTTTTATTAATCACTTGGCACTTCAAAAAAATATATAGCTATGATAAAAATTCTTCCTTTTCTACAAATATAATAATGAAATATTCTTTTTTTTTTTTATTTTTAATAAATATATAGTAGTATTTTTTTCCATATTATTAAGATATTATTTAAAATACCTTACATGTATAGCTAACTATATTACAATATTTTGCTAAGGTATTTACAAGGGTTGATAATACCTATTATCAATAAATATAGAAAGTTTATTATTAAAATAATATAGGGTAATTAATAAAAAGGTTTATTAGCCTTTTTACATATTTAAATTTTTTAAATGATGTAAAATAAAGAGTTAAATATGAACATAATATATTTAAGAATATAAATTAAAAATATAAATAAAATTTCCTTATAAGTGATAAATAAAAGGATTATAATCCTTTTTAATTATTAAGATAAGTGGAATTATGTAATATAATGAGTTTAATATATATTCATGATATTTACGCAGACTCGTTAAGAACAGCTAGAATTATTATTAAGCAATGATTTATTAATTGCCCGTTTAATGACTTTACTAGTATGAACAAATAAATTAACAAAGAGCATAAAAAGAAAATTCTACTTATTTTATTTTTATTAAAACAAAAATATTAAGAAGATAACTTACTTTTTTTAATTAAATTCAAATATTAATTATTTAGGTTAATTAACATTTTAGTTTATTTACACCATATTATGTAAAAATGTAATTATTTAAACAATGAATTTCTAATCTATCATAAAAAAAAAAATACTCTACTACATATTTTTTTTTAGTATAAATACTTTTTGCGTGTTTACTTTTTTTTAATTCTAGCGTTTATATGTGTATATTTTCTACTCATTCAAGCATTGGTTAATAAAAGGCTTCATTAACTTTTTTGGCTATAAATAGGACTAGCTATGTGGAGAATACGTAGTTGGTTGCGCTAACTAAAAAAAAAAAAAAAAAAAATTATTGGAATTTTTTTTTGAGATATTTTTCTTTTGAAAAAGATGAAGATAAAAGAAAAAAAAAAAATAAATTTTATTTTTATTTTTTTTTTTTTTTTGGAGAAGAGGATGATTAATGGAGAGAGAGATTTTTTTTATGAAAGATATTAATGTGTTTATAAAAGAGTTTAATTTGCATAATATTTATATTTTGAATTTGTGAGAGAAAATTTTATACATGTGATAATAAAATTTTCAAGTAATTAATTTTCATATAATTTATTTGAATTTTTACTAATTATTTATGTTTGTTAATTCAACAGCAATATGTTTAAATTGCTGAACATAACTCATAACAAAGAAATAAGTATTTTACATTTAATTAATAGTCAATATTCAATAAGGATTTAAATTTTTAAAAAAATAGGGATTTTTATTAAAGTAAATAAATGTCTATTGAAGTTAAAGAATGCTGAACGAAGTAGAGCATATAATTAAGAATCACTTGTTCAAAGCATATGAAAATATATATATATATATATATATATATATATATATATATATATATATATATATATATATATATATATATATATATAACAAAATCGTAGAGTCACCTCTACATGCTCTTTATTAATTTGTTTGTTCAATACTCTAGTAAAGTCACCGAACACCCAGTTAATAAAACAAGCATGCACAAATAAAAATGTTTTAACTAATTTTACTTTTTTAAATAATATTCATAATATGTTGATACTATTATTTATAGATGAAATGTATATTAAATAATAATAAATAAAGAATATAAAATTATTTTCTTTTTTTTTAAATTCTTGTTTAATTATATTTATTGACATTAATGTTTTACTTTTCTATTTTTTTTTTGGGAAAATATATCATCATAATAAACATAGTTTATTTTATATGTAATCAACGGATTTTATAATGAAGATTTATGTTTTGTTAAAAATAAGTTGAAATTTTTATTAAGTTATATAAACTACTTTACAAAATAATGACAACATTAAAAATTAAGAAAATATCAAATTAGCACATCTTTACTAAAATAATTATACATGCTTTATGAAATGAGCCATTTATTTAATTCAATTTAATATAATTATATAAAGCTTTATTTATTGAAAAAATATTGTTGTAATTAAAAAAATTAGTAAACACAACTATACATGCTTTTTTTTTAAGTTGTCTGCTCATTAAATCACAAACGTTTTTGAATAACGAATTAATAAATCTCTTACTGTATTATATAAAAGTATTTTAACCTATTTTTGCCCCCCATAGATATATATAAACAGAATGTTCTTAATTATATAACAAAAAATATGTAAAATAAAATGCTGTAGATTTTAAAGAAAGATAACATATAATTCGAAAAACTTTCTTTTTATGAAACCACCATTAGAGCATTTACATTTTTATACAAATATATATAAATATTTTTTATTTTTATTACTTACATAAACCTTCATGTGATTAAAATAATAATTACGAGGTACATTTTTAGTATGTAAAAATATAAAAAGTAAAACAATATCCAAAGAGATATAGTGGAGAAATGAGATACCTTTTATGAGAGATTAAAATATAATACGTTTAAATTAAAAAAGATGCTAAGAAAATACTTAGAAAATTTGTTATATTTATATTTTCATGAAATTTTTATTACATATTTTGATCTCTATGCATATAAACCTACATATTTTTTATTTAAAAATAAAAATATGCAAAAAATATAAATCTTTATTTACAATATAATTATTTCTTGTTGTTATGTTTATCCTCGTGACTAATTAGAATATTGCATGGGTTTAAATTATGAAATTATTCTTAATAAATTTATATGAACATAAAAAGTTGATAACTCATTTTATTAACTAAATATATTTACATTTTTTAAGATTCTTATAGAAAGCATTATTGTTTATAAATATTATATTACACGTGAAAAAAAGTTTCTTTAATGATATTAAGGAATTGATTTATTAATTGATCATGGAAAAACTTTTTTAGTGGTTTGAATAGTCAAATTAATAAATAGAAAGTAGAAATATCTTTACTCACTATATTTATCATAATACTAAACATTACAAATGATTACAAACTATTCATAAATTATGATACTTTAGTAAAAAACTTATTTTAGGAATAAAATAAATTTTTTTATGTTTATATAACTTTTAATAAATTGTCACTTAATATCAATCCTATTATTTATTTATCACTTGAGTTAACATATACACTACACAATTATTATTATATACACTATCTTTCATTTTTAATAAGTTCTACGTATCATGAATCATGCATCAAACAATAGATAAAAGTCTAAAAAAAAAAATAGATATTTTTAAATATTCATACAATCAATGAATATTATTTCTAACCATATTTAAATTTCATTAAGTATATGAAGCAGATAAAGACTCACTTGTACATTTAAAGTATGTCAAGAAAATGTGCATATTGAAATACATATACTAGAATGTACAAATCTTAAAAAATATGTACATGTAAAAAAAAAAAAAAATTATATAAATATATATGTAAGCTAATAATAATTTTTTTTTTAGTAGAATTTTTCGATTTTATCTTTTTTGCGATGAGAAATGTGTGATATGTCGTGAAAATAAATAGTGTCGTGGATAACATTAACTGTGTAATGTAGATGTTTACTTGAGTTAAAAAAAAGAAGGTTTGTGTTAATTGATAAATTATAGAAAATTATATAAATATAATAATACATATTTAAAAAGTACAATAAATTTTGAATTAAATTAAATAGTATGATTTATAATAATCAATATTATAAAAGATAAAATGAGTAGAAACCTTTTTACAGACTATTAAAAGCATTATAAAAGTTTTTGAATTTTCAGTTGGTAAATTAGCAAATTAGAACATCCCATGATGTTCATGTATTTTTGATATGCACAACTTTTAAGATTCCTATGTTTTATTGGACATATTTTAATATGCGCATTTTCCTTTAGTACCTTATATGAACAAATAAATCTTTATCTATTTTATATCTTTTCTTGATATAATAAAAAATTGGTAGATAATACTATTCAATAACAAGGGATAAATTTTATTTAAAAATTTTAAGTAGATATAGTTCTACATTTTTTGCAAAGACATAAAATTTTATTTATTTTTCAAAGATAGCAAAGTTTTTCTTATTATTCCTTTTAAAATAAAAATTTTTATATGTTGTTGCATACACTGAAGATTAGTTAATCTTTAATTATTATGATAACAAAAATATGTTACAAAATTATAAGTTATGATATTTTTAAAAAAAAATAAAATAGCCAAAATATAAAAAGTAATTGAATAACAAATATCTAAATGGAAAACATGTGAATAGCTAATATCTTAACAGAAAATAAATAAATAGCTATATAGCGAATAGCCAAATAGCAAATAGTTAGATGATAAATTGATAAATGTGAATCAAATAAAAGAGCACAACGGACTAATTTAAAAAAAAAAAAAAAACATAAATATGAAAAATAAAAGAAAATAAAAAATGTAATATAAATCATGTTAAAAAAAAAAAAAAAAAAAAAAAAAAAAAAAAAAAAAAAAAAATTGTATAGCAATATAAATATAAAAATACATTAGTTAAATTCTCATAAACATAATTTAGATAATAATATATGAACTAGCTTATATTTAAAAAAAAACAGACAAGCTTTATTTTATTTATTTTTTTTTTTTTTAGTTTTATTTATTTTATTTTATTTTTAATTTTATATATTTTATTTTATTTTTTTTTTATTTTATTTATTTTATTCTATTTATTTTCTTATTTAAAATTTTTTTTTCTAATTTTTTTATTGTCATTTTTTTTAAGTATATGTATAATTTTTTTTCGTATGCATTTTTGATAATTTTTTTAATTCTTTTTTTTTTTTTTATTTTTTATAATATTTAGTTTATCATTCAAATTACATAAAATAATAAAGTAAAAATGAAATATTCTATAGCAAGGTCATTTTTTTTTCTTTCATTGTTTTTTTTTATAAACATATCTAAAAATGCTATCAGAGGGCATCCTGCAAGACCGGGTGAATCGAGAAAAAGTGCAAGAGAATTAATTAAATCATATAAAGAAAGAGAACATGGGATAATTCAAGGTTATTATCCATCATGGGTGTCATATAATCATAATATGAAAGATGTAAATCCTGAGGTTAATCTTTTATATCTCTCATTTGCGAAGTTGGATTTATCATATGATGATATAAATTCTATAATTACAACTCCTTCACTTTTTAAATCATTAATTGGTTTAGAATACATAGGAATAAATGAATATTTTAATGATGCAATGCAATTAAGAAAAGCACGTCCAGATATCATAATGATTTTATCTCTTGGAGGAGAAAATTATCAACCAAGTTCTCTAGATGCTGCATTAAATAGTACGGAGAAAATTGCAAATCTTGTAGATGAATTGGGATTTGATGGAATTGACGTTGATTACGAACCAAACGGATCATTTGATGCATTAAATAATATAAATCAAGCTGATTTTTTTGTTAAATTTGTAACTAAAATGAAAGAATATATGTGTGAGGATAAATTAATATCAATGTCACATTCTTCAAATGGAGCTTTGAGCTGTATAGGATTTCATGATCCCACAAAAATTTGTTTGGATGACAACTCTCCATATAATGCAAATTATTTCCAAAATCCTTCCGTTAAACCAGAATTATTAAGGGGAGCAAATATGGCATCAGCGGGTAGTGCTATATATATAATGAATAATTTGAAGGATATAGTTGATATTATATTTGTTCAAACATTTAATTATAACAATACCAATGACCCATCTATTATTCATGAATTATATGATTCATATGCATATTATGGTAGAAAATATGATTACGTCATTATAATGGGATTTAATATGATGTTTTCTGATAATCCTTTTAAGCCAAATGACAAAGCATATGTAAAATCTATAGGAGATACTATAAAAAAGCAAAATAAATTAAATAAAGCAGCTGATGGTTTAGGATTGTGGTCTTTGTCTAATAATTTAGCTGTTTTTAATGAAAATGAAGTTATTCAAAATTTTGTAGAGGCTTTACATTAAACTTCATTATTAAATACATATTAATTTTTTTCATGCATCTTTTTATTATACGTAAAGCTCTGTTTTTGTTTTTCCTTTAATTTTCTAAATTTTTTTTTGTTATTTTTCTTGTTATTTCGTAAAATAAAGACATATTCTTAAGAGAAAATATTAAATTGTATTAAGTATAAAAAGTTTACAGATGTTTTAAATTATAAAATAGAATTAAAATACTCTAAAAATTTAATAAATGCTAGACATTTGAATAAGCTCCTATAATAACAATTTCGTATATCACTGAAAATTATAATAGGAGAGATAATTAAACATATACTTTAAATAAAATCTTGTATGCAATAAAAATATTTTATCTCCAATAAATTTATAATGTTGTACTAGTAACGCTAGCGTAAAATTATATAAAAAACTAATTTTTATATGCTTACATTTTTATATATATATATATATAATTTTCTTTATTACTTCTTAAAGATAGAATAGGCGTAAATATTTATTATAGAGATATATTTATTTTACTTTATTTTTTTATGAATTTAATTATAATCATTATTCATTCTACTATATACATATCTTATTGATCGATATGATATTTTAAAAGCATCACTCCATTTTTGGGATAACTAAAAGATTTGTAAAAAATATTTTTTTATTTTAAATTTTACTTAGATTTGTTTATATTTCTTTTTTTTTTGTAAATTTTTTGTTCATATGTTTTGGTTATCATTTCTTAATGCATATTCTTATTGTATTTATCGAAGTTGTTAAAACATTCATAAACTATAATAAAAGTAATAATTAACAACTATTTAAAATTTTTTTTTTTAAGATTATTCCACCTATTTTCTCTTGTAGATAAGTCCTTTAATTACAAATTTTTATCCATAATGAATTTGTATTTATTTAAAAATTTTCATGAATTTTTAGTTAGGTTCACTTTAATGAATAAAAAAAAAAATTTTTTTAGTAAATAAGAGAGAATAAACAAGCTATAGAAAAATGTTTATTTTATTCTAATTTTTTTTTTTTTTCTTGTTTTAAATAATTGAAATTTTGAATTTTTATTTATTTTTTGAATATAACTAATATATGATTATCTTATATGATTATTTAAAATACTCATTCTTTAATATTATTTTGTGCCCTTTTTTAATTTATTGTTTCTTTTCTATTATTTCATATAGTGCATTTAGTTCATAATTTTACAAACACCATTTATTTACATTTTATTAAAAGAAAAATTGTTAAAATTTTTTGCAGTCTTAATGAAAATTGTAAAATAAGATATACCGCACTTTATGTATTTATATATTTAACTTCTAATTTATCTGTATAAGGCTCTGACATAAAAATTTATTTTTCTATGATATATATTTATAAATATTTTCTTTTTAATTTTGTTTTTAAATTAAAAATTATAAAATTTTTTTTTAGTATTGTTTGTGAAGTTTTAAGTAAGATTTTATTTCTTTACTATGAAAAATGGGAATATTAAATGTCTTGTTTTTACTAATTAAAGATATTTCAAGTTGAAATTTAACTTTTTTTGTATAAATTTTTAGATTGCATAAATATAATATCAAAAAAATATTATTTTTTAATTTTGAATTTATTATAAAATATATTATAATTTGATAATCCATTTGCTGTCAATATAAATATAGTAATTTTTTATATTTATCATGAAAAAGATAAATGAGATTTTCATTGATGAAACATGTTGCTTCATGCTATTCTGAATAACCTAATTTTTGTATATTTTTTATGTTACTAAAAAGTTAATTATGGTTGAGTCCATGGCAGTTGAATGTAATAATATTTATAATCAAAATAAAGGTTATTTAAATATAAATATTATTCCAATTTATTAAAAATAAGGAATTATGTTATATACATTTTATATGGTGAATAATACCATCCTAATAATATTAAAGTTATTTATTATTAACCTTAGTTTTTGTTTTAATTTTGTAGTAATTTTATATATAAATAAGTTTTTTTTTTCTTGTATTAATCATTTTTCTAATTTATAAAAATTTCATTTTCTTTTTTTTTATTATTTTAACTTTTCTATTTATTTCACATGTAATTCCTTATTATTTCTTTATTAAGTATTTTTTTATTAAGTTAAAATATATCCTTTAAATATCCTTAAAATTTTGAAAAATGGAGAATTAAACATACTTTAGAAATTTTGACTGTTATTATTACATTCTTATTATACTTAAATTCACTTGCGATTTTGAATATCTTGTTCTGTAAGGAAAAATACACATGTTTTATGAAAAAATAAAAATAAGTATTTAAATATGTTGAGATATATTAAAAAGTAAATATCCATTTTTGTTTCATCACAGCTAATAGTATTCTATGTATTTTCTTCTTTTAACTATAAAGAAACATGAACTTAAATTAGTTAGGATAAGAAAAAAAAAAAAGACTTCATTTCTATTTAAAATGTTAATAAATATCTTTTTTATTAAGTTTATAAATAATTGATTTTTATATAAAATTTTTTTCATTTTTATACAAACAATAATACTTATACAAATTACTAAAAATACTACATTTATAGTTGGAGAGAAATTGTATTTATATACTTAAAGAAAAATTTGCTTATTTATCAATATATGTAGACATATAAAAAGGAACATAATATGTTTATGTAAATTATACGTAATTAAATTTTAAAAGTAGAAGGATAGACTATTTATATATATGAATATTTTGTAATTATATTAATCTTTTTTAAATTTTTAATTATTAGTTTTATGCTTACTTGATTTACTGATTAAATACAGAGAATTTTGTTGATTAATGAACAAATTAATAAGGAGCACATAAAATAGTCTCTACCTTTTTTATTTAATGTAAAATTACCTTTTATAAAAAATGTATAATCCTTATATATTTAAACTATATAATATGAAATTGTTGACTTCATATATAATTTACATTCCTTTTAATAAGATATGTTAATTCAGCATTTTGTCTATTCTAAGCATTCTAATTAATTTATGAAAATTAATTAACATTGTTCAATGAAAGTTTTATGTCTCATTTTTTTTTGAAGTATTCCATAAAAAATGATCTTCACTTTATTTGAAAATTAGTATATGATAAAAAAAAAAAAATTAAAGAAAAATATACTACTATTAAAAAAATATTATAAAAAGAATAATATTTTTTTTAATGTAAACATTTCCAGGGTATGTTCTTTTTACGGTGAATGATTTTTTAGTGTGTGAATTTGGAGTATGCATTTTTTTTTTTTTTTTTTAATGTACGTAATTTATTACAATAGTGTGTAAATACTTTACATTCATAACTAAACTTTTAATTGTATTTTATTATATCCTATTAGAGGTTTAAAAAGGATAGCAATACTTTTTATTGACGAATATTATAAAAATTATATCATTAGATCATTTAAAAAGCTACTAAAACATGTAAGTGTCGTTATGAATATTCCAAAAATTATATATAGATAAATTATATATCTAATGATAAAGTAAAATGCTACCAGATATTCTTAATTAAAAGAACAACGTCATAAGTAAAAAGTAAAACAAAAATTAAAAGAACAAGATATATTTATTATAAAATGATTCTTAAATTAGTAGAGAAGTTCAATCCTTAATTATTAAAAAATATAAAAATACTCTAGTTAATATTTTTTAAAAAATTATTAGCAAATATATTTTTAACTACTGAAAATATTTAAAAATCCCTTATTTATTTCTAAAAATAAAAATTTTTTTGCAAAACATATAAATATTTGTGTAGTAGAAAAATTTTTCTATTTTATTAAAAAAAAAAAATTATTTTTTTTTCTTTGTATTTCCTGTTTTTTGTTTTACACATAAATATAATTGCGTTCTGCAATCTGACAGAAATCCATGTATATTTCAGAATTATTTGATTATACGAAATTAATTCTCATATAAGAATTTTTGGTATAATTCCCAACTTTTTCTTTTAAATTAGTTAAATCTTCATGAAATATAAAAAAAAATTAAATACAATTAAAATTCTTTCCTTTTTATTATATGCAAATTCAAAATGAAGATATAATTTTCATTTATTTTTAAAAATATTTAATAAAATTTTCCTGTATTTAATTTATTCCTACATATTTTCTAAACTCTTGTTAATTAAAATATACATATTGAATGTTTTTTATTTATTTTATTCTATGATATCTTTATTTTCTTTTATTATAAAAGTTGACTTTTTAATACTTATGTGTTTTATTATATTGTGTAATCTATAATTTTGCGATGAATTAAGAATTTAATATAAGTTGAATACTATATTTACGTTTATAAAGTATTATTTGAAGAAGCGAAATTCAATAAAATATATAATAAATAATAATAATATGGTTTAAAGTTTTTATTTTTCTCATAAAAAAAATTCATAATTGAATTCATAAATTATACACTACAATATAACATAGAAAAAAAATTCTTTTTCAAAAAATAAATCACTTTCCAACATAAAAATTTGTAAGTAAATATTTTATATCTTAATTTTACTGAAACCCAACCATTATGTTATTTTTAAGTAGATACAATTATTATATGTGTGTAATTATTCCTTTTATTATATTTTTTAATAACTTAATACAAAAAAATATTAATAACCTTTATATTAAGTATGTTCATAATAATATTTAATTAGTTCAAAAAAATATATGTTTTATTATATGTTAATGATTCTTATAACAAAAAATTAAATATTTTAATTTTTTTTGTTTTATGTTATTTCATATAAAGATGAATTATTTTTATTTTTCTCATTAAAATCCAAGTTAAATTTTTAAGAATATGTTAAATAAAATTTCATGAAACTTGATTTCCTTTTAGCAAAAATCCGTGAAGTTATCATAACATAACAATAATTTTATATTTTTTGAAATTTTGTCCTAAAATATTCATATTTTTCACGTTTTCTTATTAAAGGAAATATAAAAAATTTTCTAGTGCCTATTACAATCATCTGATGGAAACTACTAAAATTTTGAAAATAATTTTGAATAATAATAAAAATTTTTTATAATTTTGTCAACATAAGTTATGAAATGGTAATATTAATCATGATTTACAGTATTTAATTAATAAAGTTTTTATGTATTTAAGCGACTTGAAAGAAAACTTTAATTACTTCCTAATGATTCTGATGGAAAATATAAAGGTAATAAATATAAGATTATTAATATAATTTAATTCTTTATTTAGTATTTTCAGAGAATTAAATTTGAATTTTAAGCATTAAATTTTAAAAGATTTTTTAGGATTTAATGTTTTGCTCCTTTTTTTAGCAGAATTATAATTTTCACTATATTAATGTAATAAGATTGTTTACCTTTAGGAATACTGTTGTTATGATATATTTCGTTTGTACTTGCAACATATTAAGAAAAATTTTTTATTTATTTCCTTATAACTTTATCAAGTTCAAATTATTTATTTTTACACGTATGTTACATTTACTTTTTAAATAATTAAAAGTTTTTTCCATATTTCTAATTATATGAAAACAAATAGTCTCCATTTAAAAACACTTTTCATGTGTAGAGCAATGTATTAAGAATATTTATATTTTAATTTATTACCCTTTATTAGTACAATTCTTGAAATATTCATATTAGCCTTATTATTCATATATAATATTCTAATTTTTTTTTTTGTTTTATATAATATCTTTTTTAACTTAACACTTAATGTAATTAATTATATTTTAATATTTGCCATATTTTATATATATTGAATAACTAAAAATAAAACTAATTTTAGGAATATCATTGTGATATTTTTATAAAGAGTTAATTTTCTTTTTTTTTTATTTCATTATAATAATTCTTCACTATATAACTCCTCGAAAACTATTCTATAACTCTTGCTTCATTTTAAAAAAGGAACTCAATTATTAAAAAAAAAAAAAAAAATAAATATAATTAATGCTATTTTATATAACAAAATTAACATAATTATCTTCGTGTACAAGTAATAATATTTCGAACATGTATATATATGTAATTTGCATAACCTTATAAAGTCATAATTACCATTATTTTCTGCAGTTAATATTTAGAAAATTTCATTACAATTACAGTGCATATAGTACTGAGGAATATACATTTCAATTATAAATAAAATTACATAAATATATATATATATATATTTTTAAACTTTTTTCGGAAATTATTACATACGTCATTTTGTAACATTTATAAACTTAAGTATCTAATTAGAGATATGGAAAGAATACCAAAAGTGTAAAATTTTATGTTTTTGAAGTATATTCATATTTACATTTATGTTAATTTTCGTTTGTATTTCATATATTTTATAAAAATAAGTATTATAGTTTCTACTAAATAGATAGTTCTTATACATTTTATTTATAACACTTTTGAATATTATTTTACACTCATAAGTTAAACATTGCAAAAAACAGGTATATATTACCCTCTAAAAAATAAAATAAGAGTTATTATTCTATAAATTTCTCATTTTCTTTCTAAAAAAGAAATTTTGTGCAAGGTATATGTGCCATAATAACTCGTACATAATGTATTTCCAACTTTTTTTAATTTTATAGTTTTAAAAATAAAATGAACATAAAATTAAGATAAATATATTAACTATATATGTGAATCTATAAGACATAATGAATTAAAAAAATGTAAAAATAATAAAAAATTAAATAATTTTTATACATTAGAATTTGTATCTAACACTTGGATGTTATAATTTAAGTTTAATGTATTTTTTCAACATATATATATCCGTTTAGAACCTTATTTCTATTTTTGGTTATTGGAAGTATTCTACACTAGTTTTTTTTGCTGATGTATGGTTTCGTAAAATTTACAAATCTCACTTGCAATGTTTGAATATGAATTTCTAAAATTAGTTACTTTTCCTATGAATAATATAGGAATAATAAATATAAAAATTTATGCTTTTCTCTAAATTCCATTCAAAACTATATAAATACACGATGTTATGTTTTTTAATAATGCTTACTTTCTGATAATTTTAATATATTAAGAGTAAAAAGTATGAGTGTATTTTAAGTACAATATATGAAAATTGGTATTGCAAATTACTTATAAAATTAATTACTTTTTTAAAAAAAACTTTATATTGAATTTATTGGAATCAAAGTAAATTTACTTTTTTTAAAATTAAATTCATGTACATATAAAATAGATGTAAATCTTTTATTATGTTTTATTAGAACGAAACATATCACTACTCACTCTGCTACCATTCTATGTCTTTACTTCTTATTTTGAGATATATTTGATTCTCAATCTATATGAAACACTATAATATTTTAATGAAATATGTGTATCTTTCTATTTTGTCTGTATTTTAAAAATAATTAACTTTTTCGTTTTATATCTTACATAAAATGAGAATTTGAAATTTCATTTTATAGTGAATATCTAACTCATTCATATCATTTTCTACGTTGTTAAGTAAATTTTTTAGCATAAAAACTGCTATGATAAAATTTATATTAACAATTAAACTTTTATATGTGTGTTTCTTATATACTATGACTCCTTTATATACTTTTATAACAGATGATGAATAATAATTAATGTAATAACTCTAAAATTAAAATAAATAATTTTAATTTATATATAATATCCGCTAATAAAATTAATATATTTTTTTTTTATTTATCCCTTAGTTTTTTTTTTACTTTTTATCATTGTTGCTTTATTCTCTCAACATTTTTGTTTATTTTTCACCATAATAAAAGAATTATCATTTTGTTTTACGTTATAATTAAAATATTTAACATATTTTTTATACTATAATTTCTTCTTTTTTTTTTAATAGTATATAACATTATTATGACTTCCACTAATTTTAATTTTTTTTTTTTTTATTTAAAAGTTATCGTAATATTTTAATTTAGATATAAATGCATGCACTAGGAGCAATTTATTTAGATTTTTTATCCTCACTACCCTAATTAAATGGTTCTTTATATTTATAACATTCTGTTATGAAGTTTAAAATAAAATTAAATTTATTCCTAATTACGTTAGTCTCAAAATTTGTTTAATGACGAAGGTATTGTACGTTTTATAATCAGTGTTGTGCACCTTTAGAAATTCAATTACACAATAGCAATTTCCGAAATTTTTTAATATTAAAAATAATATTATTCTACTTTAATTTTTTTAATAATGAAGTGGCAAATAAAATTATTGTTAAAACAGCTATAATTTTGGCCTTTTTCCTAAGAATTTAACATACATTTAGGTGTACATATAGCAACATTAAAACTCTTCATATATGTAATATAATGTAGATATATAAAATTAGAATTAACTAAAATGCTCTATTCTTTTTATTTTTTTATTAAGTAATTTACACATAAAACATTATTGTTTTTAAAGTAACATAATAAAAATATTAAAAGTATTGAAAATCTTTTTTTTTGTAATTAATTATTATATATTATGAAACTATTTATTTGAAAAGTATAGAAACATATTCAAAAATGTTTAGACATGCATTAAACTGATTTAAAGGAATTCGTTGTGGCTAATAGTACAATGGATAATATTTAATTTTGAATGTTTATTATTTTAATGATAAATTTGATTCTTACTATTTTAATGTACATAATTTTTTGTAAGTCGCTAAACAATATTTCAGAAACTAATGAAATTTTTTTATCTTTATTATTTTATTATATTCTGCTATATTAAAAATTTTATAATTATAATAATTTTTTTTATTTTTTTAATTAAATATGTTAATATTGAATAGAAATAAAAATTATATTATAAATTGTATTGTGAGATAAAATTATAACAACTTTTTATTCATTTTTTTTTTTTACTTTTTAAGCATGTAGTGAATATGGATTCAATTACTTCAAAATTACAAAATAATTTACAACAGTTTAAAGATTCTACATCATCTTCAAGTAATTGTGTTATCTCAATTTTAGAATCTTTACTACCCGTTAAACCACAAAATATAGAGGAAGTTTTATTTATTATTATGTTTGCAATTTTTTTTTATATATGGATTTCTGTATTTTGCAACGGAGTAAGATAAAATAAAAATTTTAAATGTACTTAATTACTTCTTTTTTATTTATTTATTTATAGTTTTATTAACACAAAAAAAATATTTTTTCCTGAATAATTTTTTATTCGTATTATAGAATAACATAGAATATAGTAGAAGATTAGCATATTCTAATGTACAGGTTATAACTGAAAATAAAACCAAAGAAGCTTTTCTAAGGAGTAAAAGAAAAAGGAGGAATAAAATAATGGAGGGGGTAAGAGAAAGAGAAGAAAGAAGAAGGGAAATCAGAAGATTTATAGAAAAATTAAAAGAACAACAAGAAGAAAATATTAGAATAAGGGAGAGAATAAAAAGAAGAGAAGGGCAAATAGCTAAAAGGAAAAAAAAATTGGAAAAAATGAAAAGTAGTACAGGAGAAACGGAAAATGAATATAAAGAAATAGAAGAAAACGAATAAGAAACAAAATTGATAGGGGCATGAGAATTAGACAAAAATATAAAAGCATTTTTTAATGATGTGATATTTTATTTAATTCCTTATGAATAAAATTTTTTTAATATATTTATTTAGTGTAAAATTTTTGTTATTCTGTTTTTTTTTTTATTCATAATAATATTAAAATAAGACATTTTGAAAATAAATTTTTAACTTTATTACCTAAAGTGACATTTATGCATTAAATATAATCGTCTTTATTATTTTTTCAAAGAATGGAATTTTTGTCTATTTTATATTTCAGAGCATAAACTTCCATGAAAATACCATTAGAATTTTATATTTAATTTTTTATTCTTATTTTTTTTAGATTTGAACCTTGGTTTATGGTTTATTACATTAAAGAAAGATTATTTTTTCAAATTTAGTCTTTTAATTATACTAAAAATAATATATATGAAGAAAATTAAATATGATTTAATATTTCTTCACAGAAAGCATTATATTTGCTCCATATATATAATAGTTTTACTTGAAATTATATTTATAGATATTTCGCAATATTTCTAAGGATGTGAATGATTAATCTACAATATGTAAATGAATATGTAATTTCAAAATGAAAAATATGATATGAATTAATTTTAATATTATTAACTCCAGATTTATGTTCTTAATATGTTTTTATTTAGCTTACACAAGAATAAATTTTGTAAGTATACTAATAAAGTAATATCATAATAATGTTTTTTAATTTTATCAATTAAAAATATTTTTAATATAAATTCAGTTTATTTAAAATATAAAATTAAATTTTTACCATTATCATTTAAAGAAAATAAAAAAAAAAGTTGTAAAAAATATAATACATGACCAGCATATTCATATTTTTAGCATTAATTATTAATTTTATTTTATTTGATATGATTTGATTTTTTTTTTTTTTATAATATATATATTTTTAAGTAATTTTTTTTTTTTTTTTAAATAAATAATATATTATTTTATTACATTGAAATTAAGCATTTTATTATTTTATTTTATAAAACAAAATAAATTTTTTTAAGCATTTAAAAAAATAAAAAAAAAGTGTAGTGTTTAAAAAAACTTACAAAAAATTTAATTGAAATGAAATTCTTATTACGCTTATATAAGCGTTATATTAAATATTATAATTTTATAATTCATTATATCCAAAGAAAATAAAACATATATATTTTACTTTTAAATTTGTAAAATAAACCCTTTAAAAATTATTTTGTATAAAAATTATTATTTATATTTTTATAGAGCAAAAATAAAAATTACATATATTTATATTCCATTCTTTCAAAGTAGTGAAAAAAAATGATTTCACTTTGTAAAAATATTAATAATTAAGTTGTTATATTGATTAATTTATTATCAACAATTATAAAGAAATAATATTATGTTTTAACTTCAGCTTAAATTTTAGTAGAAATAAATATTTTTATGTTTATATGCTTATTTTTATTTTACATTTTATAAAAAAATTAAATAAATTTTTGTTAATTTTGTAAGTTTAATAAAATTACTTTTATCATCAAAGTTTTGCTATTTTATATATTAAAATAAATATTTAAGACAAAGTTAATACAGATTATTTTGTGGGTACTATAAAAAAAAAAAAAAATATATATATATATATATATATATATTTTTTATACATCTAAAAATAATAAGATGAAAATGTTTAATTATAAATTATTCTTCTGACAAAATAGTGTATTATAAATTAATGGACATAATGTTCTATTTCTTATTTTAGATGTGATTAGTTAATGAAATGTAAAACTTGAAGTTCATATATGTATACTTTTGTTTAAATCTTATTTATTACAAATATAAAATATTAATAATAGAATATATATATATATATATATATATATATATATATATAATATTTAAAATTATATAAAAAGTATAGAAAGGAAAAAAGCATAATAAAAAAATTTTATGGATGATCAAAGAACGAATATATATTTAATATTATATTGAAATAGATCTTTCTTTAATTATGCAATATAATGTATAAAAAATATTATTGCAATAAAAATCTATATATATTGAGAGTAAAAGAAACTACTACTGAATAAAAAAACTCGAGAAGACTAATATTCTTTGCCTAAAACTGAAAAGCATATTTTGGAATATTTCATTTGAGATTATATATAAATATGAATTCCATTCAACTTTTGCTTGAATTTGTAAAATATTTCTTTCTTATTATACATTAAAACTATTATGTTAATATAAAAATAAATATCCTTTTTCTGTACTTTTCATATATTATATATTTATTCTAAAATATAAATATATTTACATATCTTCATAATTCTATTAAAGAGAATATAATTATTCATGGTTTCTTTATCTTATTTCATTTTATTTTTTTTTAAAGATAATATAAATGATTTATATATATATAAGAACAGCATATTATCTTTTATATTATTTTTTAATTCTTTAATAACTTTAAAAGCAACCTTCCCATTAAAATTGAAATGGAATTAGTTTATTTTAAATGATAATATTTGTAAATTGTCCTAAAGGAAATGTAGTGTATATATTATTTTATCATCTACAATGTATTATTCGTATTTGATAATCAATAGATACGGTCAATGTTTAATAAAAGTACATTAAAGTATTCGAAACTATCTGGGGTAGAAATATTTCTATAGATTACTGATTTAGTATTAGTAAATGTACTAATGTATTTAAACTGCAATAAATGCTAAAAAATAACTTATTTTCAGAAAAAGAAAACAATACAATATTAAATATATATGTTTATTCTTATATATAAATGCACATAATCATTAAGATGAATTTTTGTCATTGTTATCGTTAAAACAAGAAAAGTTCTTTTTTATATTATGTAATTTAGAAAGAAGATATTAAATTATATTATATATATTAAGTAGAATATCATATATAATTGTTAATTTTTTTTATCCCTAATTTTTCTCTTAATATCTATAATTTTACATTTTTATATAGAAATTTTATTTTTTCTTTTTACATAATTGCTCTAAAAACTTATCAATATAAAAAAATATAAGAATTTTTTTTATTTAACTTTTTCGTGTGTATTCTATATTTTTTTCTTTTATTTTTTCAAAATAAAAAAAATGATTTTAATTTTGATTTGTTTATTATAATGCTATATATTTGATATAATTTTATATAAACTTTATTTTAGGTTGATTGTGACATTAAATTAAATTTCATCTTATAATTTTTTAAAACTTCATATTAATTTTTACTTCATCTGAATTTATAATAATTAACTTTCATTTATTTTAAAAATTTTTTTTAGTTTCATGTACATTAGTTGTACTTCATATATATATATATATATATATATATATATATATATATACATATATATATTAATATGTGTAAAATTATTAAACATGAAAATTGTTCTTTACACTGGTAGCATAACTTGTGCAACCTTAATTCTTAAAATAAGCTATATTATTACATTTTATACTTATTGTTATAATAAGTGTCATTCTTATGATTGATTTAGCTATCTTATCATAAATTTTACATATTTTTCCTTATTTTTCCATAATATTTTATATTATTTATGAAAGACATAAATATAAAACATTATTAATATTACTTAAATCAATCTATGTTAATAAGGAACATTGTGTATTTACAGTTTTAATTTTTTTTAAATTACTAAATAATGATATTTATTCAAAATTACAATACACAATAAATATATAATCTTATTTTTTTATATTTTTTTTCATAATGAAAAACTTTTATATTGTAATACTACAAACTTCCTATAATAATAACATATTCTAATAAATTCAAGAAAAAGAGAAATTAAAAAAAATAATTATAAAATTTTTTTTGTTTTATTTAACATTTTAAAAGACATAATTTGTTACACATGTATGATAAACTTCATTATTTATAGTAATATTAAATATTACATTTCTATAATTTATTTTTATAATAAATTTATATATTTAATTTCTTTTTATGCTTATATTATTTGCTTCTTATTTTTTATTATCTACTTAAATTCAAGAATAAAAAAAATTAATCTACTTTCATAATACCATAGTGCAATCATAAAAAATTTTATAATTTTTTTTAATGTATATTAAGTTATTTTTTCAAAACTGAGGATACAGAAAATTTTTATTATTATATCCCTGGTTTATTAACTGGATGTTTGGTGACTTTGCTAGAGTATTGAATAAAAAAATTAATAAAGAACATGTAGAGTTGCTTCTACGATTTTGATGTATTTATATATATTTTTAAATGCTTTGAACAAGTGATCCTTAATTATGTGATCTATTTCGTTCAGCATTCTTTAATTTTAATAGGAATTTATTTACTTTAATAGAAATCTTTATTTTTATTAAAAATTTAAATCCTCATTAAACATTGATTATTAATTAATTTTATATTACTTGTTTCTTTGTTATGAGTTACGTTCAGCAATTTACATATATTGTTGTTGAATTAACAAACATATACAATTAGTAAAAATGCAAATTAATTATATGAATATTAATTACGTGAAAATTTTATTGTCATATGCATAAAATTTTCTCTCACAAATTCAAAATATAAATATTATGCAAATTAAACTCTTTTATGTAAATATTTTTATCTGTTTAAGATCTCATTTTTATTGTTACTAAATCTTACTCTTGATTTTTGTTTTACCAATCTTTTTCTTCTCAATTAAATCATTTAAAAAAAATAAATATATATTTTTTTTTTTTACCTATCTCTGTTTTTTTTAAAAGAAAAAAATATAAAAAAATTTCATAATTTTTTTTTTTTTTTTTTTTTTTCCCGCGTGTGCACAACCAACTACGTGTTCTTCATATAGCTAGTCCTTTTTATTACCAAAAAGGTTAATGAAGTCTTTTATTAACCACTCATATAAGATATTAGTTAATAAAGATATCATTGATCTCTTCGAGATTTTCATATAATAAAAATGTACGTGAAAA